GGGACAGTCAGGGTATGTGTCTGAAACTGCATGAAGAACATGATTGTGTCAATCTATACTGTTTAACAGGCTAGTCTTTGTAGAAAGCTACAACCTAGAAAGGCAAAGCAATCGACAGTAGCACTGGCACATGAGGAACTGTTTTAAAAGTACACATAAGCATGCATGCTTGCAGAGGAAAGAGCAAAACAAGCTTTAAGGTTTCTATGGCAACTCGAGAAAAAAAGAAGACACTAGGATAAGCATTGTCCTTAGGCAATGAGGGAGAAAGTGAAATGACTCCCCCGACTTACCAAAACAGCAGCAGCATCTCACAGAAAGTAAAGAACTTCTTTTGAGGATGGAAACTGAGGAGCCTAACAGGCTCCTTATTAGTACAAAAGTCGCATGGCTTGATGGGAAGAAGAGTAGCTGTGGGAAAGAGACTATGTATGACAGTATATAGCCTTTCTATAGTTGCTTAAATTTGGAACCACAACTCATTCATTACAACACTCCAAAGTACAAAACTGCTGCTACCAGCAATATGAAAGAAAGGTGTCAAAGTTTGAGTGTTGCCAAAAATACTTTGTTCAAGGGGGAAAAAAACCCCAAACACATAGCTCCAACACACTTGTACTTTGTACAGTACATATTACATTTACTTATAAAACTGAGGTCACTGTAATGTGTATAGAAATTTCATTCACTGCTATTCTAATACTGTGACTCTGGATGAAAAGTATGTCCCTTAGCAGCATGGGGAAACAGCTGATGGTATAGGATCCCTAACGTTAGTTGGAAGGGGTCAAATACGGCATGTTGCCTGGGACAGACCACATCCTCATACTTGCTGAGACAAAGAAAATCACACTTACTTCCTAAGGCCGTGGAGAAGAATGGATAAAAGAGAAGAGCACATAAAAGCATGTAGTACACCACTGAAATTCGGTTTTCATTTTCCCTTCCTGTCCATAAAGTAATGAGACGTCTCCCCATGGAACTGGACTTTATTGCTTTGTAATTATGATGTGCATGTAACAACGTCCAAGAAACTAGATGGTAAATAACACCGACATGCAAGCCTGGATGCACACACTGTCAGTTGGCTATCATCTGGATCCCAGAGGGCTCTTGCACACTATCTAGTGCATCTCAGAAATATGACACATTTGCTTTTCTGAATACAGCCAGAATTACCCACCAGCTTTGAAATATCATCACCATGATGCTGCAAGGAGCAGCTGCTTGATTGGAAGTGACTCCCCTCCCCCACTCTCCAGCTGTCACCAGGAAAACCCCCTCAATGTGTGAAAATAGCAGTATTACTACTACTACCGCTAATAACAAGCTAACAAATGGTTAGATTGGGAATTATTTTTCTGAGGAGTCATTAATAAATTAAGGTAAAAAAAAAAAACACGTACACACAAAAAAACTACCTTACCATATGAATGAAAACCAGAGGCTATCATACAACAAAAACCACTGTGGGTACACACAAGTATACTTCTTTTGAAGCCTTGTTTTTCTTCCTCAGTCACTTATGAGACCAAACAACAGTTGAAATACTAAGTAGCTTTAATAGTGCTACAGCTGTCACAGTGTCAGGGATTTTTTAAAAAGCTGTAGGGTCTGTTGTTGTTATTTGTTTTTCTGCACAGAATCCCATTTCTAGAAAATATGGGACAAATTGAAGCCTGCACTTGTTCAGGAGTCTTTTGTTTTTAATAATCACCCATGACTCTGTATGAGAACCCAGACATATGCTTACCCCAGAGACAAAGCTAGCACGTCTGCAGCGCAGAGGACCCCCAGAACCTAGATTTCTGACATCATAGTTTTAGGTACAGCTCATGCTCAGAGCTGTGCCTCTGACAGGGAGTCATAGGCAGACACTCAGAACCCCACTTCTCTGGACACATCCTGGATCAGGTCCTGTGGACTCCAGTGTCACTGATCTGAAAGTCTCCTAGCTCTTGAACCTTCTGGGTAAATTTCTGCTTAACAGGCCCCAAGTTAAAACAATTAAACAAACAAAGAAACAAACAAAACCCTGAGAATCACTGCTTAGATGCAATAATGGCACTACTGAAGAACAGCTTGAAAGTTTTAATGTTTTTTTTCAAAATAATTTTAATGTATGTGTACATAAGTATATAACTTCTTTCCTTATATTTGGTTTCCCTACCCTCATATAATATACTACAAAATAACAAAAGTATGGTCTACTATGAATGCCTTTAAGCATATTCCATTCATATACTCATAGCTAAATGTAAAATCATGAAAAAAATATAAGAACTTTGGCATTTTTAAAAAGTAGAACACATCAGTGTTCTATTGTAAAGCATATGTATTAAAAATTACTTCAGGGTTAATAACATTTTCATGCATTTATTTACAGAATTACTATCTTCTATAACATAACAGAATCACATGACACAGCTGACTGTATAAAATGAAATCAGCTTTAGGATATCAAAGATATTCTGAAGTTAATTATAGTTAATCTGGAAACTATAAAAACAATGACTAAAAATCACTGATTATGAAATAACTAATGTTTTTTCCAGCAAGCTGAGCTGCAATTTTCTCTGAGTGTTTGCTTTCTCTCACAAATTGAGAAAGCTTTGGTTCAGCATCTTCATCGCTTAAAAAGCAGTCAGCACGTAATAAAACAATCTCGTACGTGAAAGATGGAAATTAATGGGGCAGTCAGAAGTTAAATGCTAAACATTATTTCTTCCCCTTTCAAAAAGAGAAATTACCTAACGTATAATGTAATAACAAGTAATTAACACACCATCTCATTTAACTTAGGTAGCCTCTACTTTACAGGAGAAATTAAAACTGGAAGGATGCTAATCTGTTTACAGGGCCTAATCAATGTACAGAGGGAGGCAGAATTCAAGCAGGGTTTACCTGACCCAGCACCTCAGCTATACATCTTTCTTACACAGAAAACAACAAAACATTTGGAGCCTTTGAAAAACAAGTTTCATGACAAGATGGTATCACTTTGGTGGTAAGGCTAACTATTACTGATAGAAACCGGTATCACGAGTGACATATTTACATGACAATTTACTCCCCATAATAACCTGGAGTCTCAGCATGGCCTTAGTGCCAGTGCTCTCTAGTCAAAGCTATGGGTTACATAGGCCACCGTCAGTCACTGACCATTTTCAACATTGTGATGAGCCTAGGCGCTAGGACAGCAGCTTCAGACCCTGAATGATCATTTCCTTCTCTAGGTGGACCCTTAGAAAATGTTCCATGTAGCAATTTGAAAAAAAAAAAATCAGCCAGTTGGAAGCCTGTCCACTTAACTGTGACCCTCCAAATGGATGTGAGACCTTCCGTTATGATAGAGCCATACAACATATGAGGACAAAAGATAAGAACAGAGACAGCATCGCCTTGGGCTAGCCACTCCTCTATGCTTCTTTGCAACTCTGGTCTGGCCTTTACCAAATGTAGGTATAAGTAAACTGAAGGAACAAGAAGGCCAAAGAACTTTAAAGTACCTTAGCACAGTTTCCAATAGTTTATTTTCTAAAGTACCACAATGTGATTAGTGGTAGTACCTACTGCCCGGTAGCTTTCTCGTTTTGTTTTGGTTATCTGCATAGGGTCTCATGTATCTCAGGCTGTCCTCCAACTTGGGATTTCTCTTGCCTCAGCCTCCTAAGCATTAGAGTTACAGGCATGAGCCACCATATCCTGCTAAAAAAAAAAAGTTATCCTTTATCTAAATTTTCACTATTCAGAAGTAAATGGGATAAGTCTTTGCAGCAGTCACAAACTCCATGCAATCCAACTGCTCTCTAACCTACAACTTGTCCTTCCTCCATGACCTGTATGTTTCTTCATGAAGGTCTAGTAATTTTGTAATGCCTGACCTCTGAGGGTTTTATATGGGTTAGTGCTACCCGCTTGTTTTCACATGTTAACACTTAGCACTATGAAGTCACAGCTAAGTGATTTGCCCAAGGTTCCATATCTAGAAAATACCTCACCTTACTCAAACCTCATTATCTGTGGTTCCGTAACAAGTGAGTGCTTTTAATGGCTATGTTATTCATGGAACTCAGCACCCAGAAGTGTTAGAATGGACCAAAAGGCTTGCTCAAAGGGTTTGACACGAAAATCTGTATTGCCAACAATTCCCTCAGAAGATGCTGCTGATGGGAAGCAAACCCAGGACCAAGGCAGGAGCACCTGCTCTCCTGAAATGTGCCAGAACACTAGAAGATCCTAATCAGAATCAGTAACAGAAGCAGGAAGGTAAATGAAGTTAAGGACGTTGGGACAAAATGTAGAGGGGGGAGGGGAGGTTGACGCCACGCCCTCCCCCCAAAAAACCTCAGAGTCATGAAGCTGCTGAATAGAAGGAAGGCATTTTTAAAAGAGCCTGACGGCTGACTCTTAATCGTGCAATAATTCGATATTACAGTTTGTTGTTTAAAATGACGTCTAGTTTGGAGAAACGGAAAGGCATACAAGCTTTTTGTGTGGACAGAAAATTGCTGAAGTCCCTCAAGTTCCTCAGACATATGTCTGTCATCTATTCTGTGGTACTTGCAGACTTACAGAGGTTAGTATGGGTCTGTGTAGACGGAAGTGGCCGTCCCCTCCAACCACCTGCCACTGTAAGCTCTACGGCTGATGCAACTTCGCCTCAAACTTCCTGAAGTCAGAGGAATCTATCAAAAGCCTATCGGGGCAGCCTGGACCTCCATGAGCCCGGGATGCGGTACGAGTGAGCCTGCCCCTGCAACCTCATCCCCGCCGGAGGGGACAAGAAGACCCGGACCCTGTCTGCCGGCTCCTCTGCCCAGTCCCGAAACAGCGCTTCCGCCCGGCGAACCCAAGCTGGCCCCAAAGCAGCGCTTCCGCCCGGCCCGCACCAGCTCGGATCTCAGCCCCGGCCCCTCTATCCGCGGTCCCGGGAAGCCACGACACAGGCCGCACAAGAGCGACGCCACAAACTCAGCTGAAGAGACGCCGAAACTCACTCTCTCTAAGACCCGCTTGCGTCCTCACGTACTCCCGCGCTCGTGCGTCAGCACGTTAGAAGGCCGAATCCGGAGACTCAACTTCCCGCACGGACGCCGATTCTGCAGGCTCCACTTCCGGCGGCCTAGGGAAAGGAGGGCGGCAGTCTGCGCATGCTCGGTGCTGCATCTAGCCTCTCCTTGGTTCCTCTGGCTGATACATAGCGCTGGTCCTGCTCAACCCTTAGCAACGAGGATGTCAGTGTACTTTTACCGCCATAAATAACAAATGATTCCTTACCACGAGCACAGCGCCCGAGTCGCCCATGGCCAGCTCCTTCAAGGCCAAAGTTTCTTCCCGCTCCAGTGCAGTCTACGAAGTGGACAGTGGAGACCATAGCTGTTCCCGATGGGCCTCAGGAGAGCTGCTTATCTCCGAAAGTAGGCCAGAGAAACAAGGCCACGGTGTACATTTCAGTCCCCAAGCACACACACTGCTTAGCCTGTTTACTGCTTTAAGGGCTTGAAGTATAAGGTTTTTGTGTCTTAGGTCATTTGGTACAATTTTCTGCTTCTAGTGTGGAACCAGTTTCCTGGGCAGTTTCTACTAAAGGCAAAGCTACATATATGTCCTACAAGTAAACGGTCTTTGGAGTAATTTTTTTCTAGTAATTAGAGGAAGGCTTCACTTTTTCAAGGCATGAATTGGGGGCAGGTATATTTACCAAAAGGCTTAGTATCCATGCTTAGTTAGCATATTAAAAACTTCCCAGTCCCCAAAAGTTTATCTTCTATTGTATAACAGAAGAACTCTTCCTAAAAATTTTTACCTTGGAGTTAAGTGAAAATTTGCTGCATTATTAGGGGATATAGATGAGAATTTCAATTGACAAAATTCTTAGCAAATTCAAGGATGAATTCTTAAAATTTAACCCCTTTCAGGTTAAAACACACACACACACACACACACACACACACACACACACACGTATGTAGTTCTAAGACTGATACTGAAAAACTGCATTCCTGAAACTGGAAGGCCACATGACTAGGGGGAACTAAATTGCATGTAGAAATATATCTCCTCAGGAAGAAAAAAAATGCATTTTCCCAAAAGGAGAGGCCTCCTTATTTGTTCTTCTGAACAATCCTATGCATCCATTCTATAAATATACTCTTGTATTCTCTGTCACTTTCTACACTTTTCTATACTTACACTGTTTTTGTTGTTATTATAAGTCATTAAATGCAGAGGTGACTTTAAAAGAGCCACAAATCAAGTCTCAAATCAGTAATCTCAAGAATATGCAATTGGAAATAGATAGGGCTCAGGAGGGTACTTAGGGAGCACGGTGTGATGGTGAACACTAATGACCTCAACAGATTGAAGGTAGAGACAAAAAGATCAGGAGTTCAAGCACAGCCTCAACTATATAACCTTAAGACCAGTTTAGTCTATATGACTCCCTGTATCCCCCCCAAAAAAAGAAAAGATAAATAAAAACATTTTTATCCTATTTTAAATAGGAGTAAAATGTTTCATTGGCATTTAAGAGGACAGAGAAATCCCTTCCCGTTTTTTTTTTAATGACCTCACGAGACATGGTGGTAAATACCTGTTATCTCTCCACTTGGAAAATAGATGCAAGAATATCAGGAGATCCCATTATCTGGGTAATAATTTCCTAGCCTAAACTTTAATAGAGGGACAGTTAGAATTCTTACAAGTAAACAAAGCTTAAAAATACTAAAGACTCAATGCCAGAATAAGTCCTCTACCATTTTTTTTAAAAGCATGTCATTGTTCATTACCTTGTAAAAATAACAATTTTAAGAGCTCAAAAGTATTTTAATTGTCAGATAAGATATCACTATGCATATTCCATTTAATATATGAAATATATTTGTGGTATAAAGATGCAGTTTTAAATTATATCTAAGCCTTGAGGGACAAGCAACAATTCTTAGCCATTTGACACAAATTAATGTTCCTAAAATATGGTGCCTGTGTTGAAACTGGAGTTTTGGTTACCGCCTCTATACATTTCACAATCGGGTGGAAACTGGTAGAAAGGTAGACAGACATTCCCACCTTTCAGAATCCAGCCTGAAGGAGAAAAGATGCCAGGGAACATCAACACCATGCACCAAAAACTGGATTATCTTGTAAAGGAGGAGTTTGTTTCCATCTCTTACAGCTTCTAGTGAACCAAATATATTACACTCAAAACTGTTTCAAAAGATGGGTAACATTGACTACAGAGTGTCTATCATCCTTCTTAGGGAACAACTTTCAAATGAGGTGATTCAGCTATAAGAAATGTTTCTGTAAGGCAAAGGACACTGTCAATAGGATAAAACGACAACCAACAAATTTGGAAAAGATCTTTACCAATCCTTCATCTGATAGAGGGCTAATATCCAATATATATAAAGAACTCAAGAACTTAGACTCCAGACAACCAAATTACCCTATTAAAAAATGGGGTATAGAGCTTAACAAAGAATTTTCAATGGAAGAAACTCGAATGGCCGAGAAGCACCTAAAGAAATGTTCAGCATCCTTAGTCGTCAGGGAAATGCAAATCAAAACAACCCTGAGATTCCATCTCACACCAGTCAGAATGGCTAAGATTAAAAACTCAGGTGATAGTAGATGCTGACAAGGGTGTGGAGAAAGAGGAACACTCCTCCATTGTTGGTGGGACTGCAAGATGGTGCAACCACTTTGGAAATCAGTCTGGCGGTTCCTCAGAAAATTGGACATAGCATTACCTGAGGATCCAGCAATACCACTCCTAGGCATATACTCAGAAGATGCTCGAACATATAACAAGGACATATGCTCAACTATGTTCATAGCAGCCTTATGTATAATAGCCAGGAGCTGGAAAGAACCCAGATGTCCTTCAACTGAGGAATGGATTAAAAAATGTGGTATATTTACACAATGGAGTATTACTCAGCTATTAAAAACAATGAATTCGAGAGGTTCCTAGGTAAATGGATGGAACTAGAAATTATCATCCTGAGTGAGGTAAGCCAATCACAAAAGAACACACGTGGTATTCACTCACTGATTATCGGATATTAGCCCAGAACCTTGAAATGCCCAAGATTCAACTCACAGGCCACATGAAGCTCATAAAGAAGGAAGACCAAGTGGGGGTGATTCGGTCCTTCTTAGAAGGAGCAACAAAATACTCAAGGGAGCAAATATGGAGACAAAGTGAGGGACAGAAACTGAAGGAGGGGCAGTCTGAAGACCACTCCACCTGAGTATCTATCCCATGTGCAGTCACCAAAGGTAGATGCTGATGTAGAAGTCAGGAAGTGCATGCTGATAAGAGCCTGATATGGATGTCTCCTCAGAGGTCTTCAAGAGTCTGACATACTCAGAGGCAGATGCTCACAACTAGCCATTGAACTGATCATGGGGTTCTCAATGGAGGAGTTAGAGTGAAGACTGAAGGAGCTGAAAGGATTTGCGGCATCATGAGGAGAGCAACAATACCAATCAACCACAGCTCCCAGGGTCTAAACCACCAGCCTGGGAGCACTTAGGGAGGGATCCGGGGCTTTAGCTGAATATGTAAGAGTGGAGGGCCCTGCTGGGCATAGGTGGAAGAAAAGAACCTTGACCTCATGAAGGCTAGACGCCCCAGGGGGTGGGAATTTTGAGGGTGGGGAGGTGGGAGGGGGGGTAGATAGAGGTTACATCCACAGAGAAGAAGGAGGAGGGGTAAGGGGATTGGGGGTTCCTGGGTGGGTGGGGGATGGGGTACGGGACAACATATGAAATGTAAGTAAAACATCCAATAAAATATATATATATATATATATATATATATATATATATGTAAATTGACATAGGTAAGTTTAATTGTGTAAGAACTATATCAAAAAAAATTTATGATATAAATTTTGTTTAATTAACCTATTGAAATGTTAAAATGTTTTAACAACTCTCTTTCTTGTTCTTAAATTATAGTAAATTTAAAAACCCTGAATTATTAAAACAATCTTGTATAAAAAAACGATAAAAAAAAGAAATATAACGGCAAAATTGGACCAAGTGTTGTGATAAGATTATCAACACTTAACAGTAGACTACACACACACACACACACACACACACACACACACACACACACTTACCCTAAAAGATTTATAATGGCCATAGAAAATAAACTTTACAAAAGTTAAAGATTTGTTGTGACAAAAAAAGATTTCACTGTAAGATAGCCAAAACATTAAGCGACAAGAACTGTAAATGGCCACATATCCAACAATATAGCTCTAAGGTCATGAAGATAAAATTGGTAGAATTAGGAGTTTAGGGTGTAGTCAAATGTTAGAGTGCCTGCCTAGGAAGCACAGGGCTCCAGAGCCACACAATGGAGTATGTCAGAGGAATTGAATTAAGAAGCAGACAACAAAAGTCTGATATTTAAATACTCTTAACAATGGGTAGGAAATTAGACTGAAAACCATTAAGTATATAGAAGCTGCAAAAAACACTCAATCCAAATAGTAAGTGCAGACCACTCTACTTAATAACAGCAGACTTGATAGCTATTTTAACATATCTGTTCTCCAGGAGAGCCCCATATGGTGCATCATAAAACAAATGTGAAGAAATTTAAAATAAATGGGATCATACAGGGTATCCTTGGTGGTAACAGTGAAATTAAATTAAGAATCAACAAAAGAAATACATTTAGAAATTTTAAAAATTACCCATTGAGTAACAGCTAAAAGATAAAGAAAATTAGTAGTTTTAACTGGACAAGAAGGAAATACAGAGATTTCCCAGTTGCATCTAAAATGATTTTGAAACACTTAAACAGTGCTACTTTGAAGCACTGTCATGGAAAAATGTCTCAATATCTTAGCAACACACACACACACACACACCAAACATAAATGACAAATTAATACTCAGAAACAAATGGAGAAAAATTAATAAAAATAAAAGCTGATTTAAAAAAGATTCAATTTACAAAAAGGGAAAAGAAAAACACACTAATGTTCCAAATGAGGCATGAACTGGGTATATCACCCAATCCACTCTACAGAAATTTAAATTACAGGAAACTGCATAAATTTATGTTAATAA